TAGCGAAAATAACGAAATTAACAAAACAAAGCTCAGTTAAGGGGAAAAAAGTTGATATCCTGTTTTAAAAAAAAAAAAAAAAAAAAACTATTTTGGTTTGGCTCTTAGGCTATCCAACATAGCCTACTAATTTAGTATAAAAATTGGTGTGACAAGTCACACTTGGATACTTATATAGATATTTGGATAATGTCAAACTTATCTACAATCTTACAAATCCTCTTAATAAAAGTTTTGATGTAACTGCTTAAGATTTAAAAAAACTTAGAGGAATTGTTGTAAAATAAATAGTGTACTTATTGCGAAATAAAATAATATTGTATACATTTGAAATACGAATAGTTATTAATGTATTGTAAGACTATAATACGCGCCTTTAAAAAGTATTTTGAAAGTTTCGTGAGTAATAAAATTTCATCCCGGCAAAGCCGATACTTTATCCCGGGGTATATTAACAATCAATCAAAATGAACTTCCACTATGCTATCAAAATCACATTTTTCGGGGTTTGATCTGTAAAATTAATTTCGGAAAACTCACAATTCCTGGTTTTCGCTTGGCGGCATATTAATTTGACTTCCGAATAATTATGTCATATTCAGATTATCCGGATCGGTCAGATAAAAAGTTCTTTCTCTAGCTTGGTTGTAGCTCAAGCTATTAGTTCAGCTTAACTTTGTTAGGCTTGGCTTAAATCTATGGCTAAAGCTGGCTTTTTGTAAAGCCAATAATATCCCTACTATTATGCATCGTTTCCACGTGATTCTACACCCCTTTAGATTATCCTTGGAATGGGTTACATTCACTGACCTTACTTTAAACTTCCGTTTACCGTTTTTCAGTTTGAGAGAAGTTTAGGATTTTCGACATCATGGAAAAATGGATTCGTCTATCAACTATAGCTCAGCTTCTTAGGATTTCGTCTTTCAGCAGGGTTTCTTCTTTTCGTCACTTGTCAATACGTAAAATAACTTCGCGTAATAATTACAAGCAAGACTACGGCATTATTCAAAAGGCAATCCCAAATGACACGACCTATTTTGAAACATTAGAAGTAGGTGATGATTCGTGAGTAATTTATATCTCCAATGTGCGTTGTTCGTAAATTCATATATGAATTATTTACTAAATTCATTTTAGCAAAGTGCCTGCATTCGATATTGATTTGGGTCAATTACGTAGCAATTATTTAAAGTTTCAGCAACGTGTTCATCCTGACAGGTATGGCAACAAAGACGAAGCAAGTATCACTATCGAATTATTTAACAAAATTTATTTTTTCTCTTCATTGAGTCTTTACAAAAAGATGCCAATTTTCGTCTTCAATAGTCATGTTACCTGATAACAACCATTTTGTAGCAAGTATATAAGCACGCCCAGCAGTACTCATCTTTGATTAACAAAGCATACCAAACATTACGTGATCCTCTTTCCAGAGCTAAATACATAGTAATTCAATTTCTTTTTCTTCATGTTCTTATGATTCGCATATATATATCGGTTTTAACAAACTTATTTTATATTTGACAAATGAACAAGCTTCAATTAAACAACGTTTCAATAATGAATATTATTAATAAAAATTCGAATGAAAAAAAAGAAAATTCATGAAATCCTATTTAATGATGAATCTCGATCGGTTTTCCTTGCTCCCATCCAACAGCAGCTTCTCGTATGTTATACCAATATTGAAGCCTTATGGTCAATTCTTTCGCCCGAACTAAATCGTTAAATTTAAATGCCTGCGAAAGTTTGGATATAATTTCGTTGATTCTCACTGTAAGGTAATGTGAAGTTTGAGTTAGTTGTGATTAATATAAGATGTATATTGATTATTACAACCCTTACCTTCACTTTCATCCTTAATACTTTTTGCCTCATTTTCATTAGTAGCTTCTTCTAGACGTTCTCTAGCATCTAGTATTTTCATCAATAATTCAGGATCATCCAACGATTCCGATTCATT